TTTTTTGGGCCATATTGATGACCCTCTGGAGTGCCTTTCTGTGTGCTGTGGTGCAGCTGGAGAACCACACACCGATGCAATATGTCAATATGATACATGTAGAATAATGAGTGTATACTACTTTAATATTGTAAGCACTGATCGGTTGCTGGGTAGCTTTATCTATAATAATACAGCTTCTGAAAAAACAGTATTTAAATCCAAAATATAGAAAGCTGCACAACATAGTTTTGGATTTCCTCCTTTTTAAAAAAATAAATGTCATTTTTAAGTGATCGGCTTTTATCCTCATTCCCAGGCCGGGTGTCAGGTCACCTTAAATATCTGTCACCTTTTCCTGAGTGTCAGGTTAAACTAGCCTGATGTAAACACTGTTTGATGATGTCTGTCTCTGACTTCCATTGCTTCTGTCTGCCAGGTGGTGCAGCTGAGCGACCATTACCCAGTGGAAGTGGTATTAAAGAGCTCCGCCCTCTTTCTTCAGGCCATGCCCCTCCTGAGCCTAATAAGTGCCTCTGTGATCGTCTGGTCCTTCCTCTCTGCCCTGTGATCGTCCCGGGCTCTGAATGCTTTATATACTCGTTTGTCTTTTTTATTCCAAAACCAGTTCACCTTGTAGCCGTGCCAGGATCACTCGGCGCTGTCCGTTCTTTTAACACGGGTTTATTTTATAGTCCCAGCTCTACTGCTCTTAGACCAAAGTGAAGTGAGCAGCGAGGCAGCTCCAGGAACAGAAAAATGTGCAAAATTTTAAAACAAAGATTCAAATATGAGACTTTCAGGGTTTTTGATGCTGATTTTAAAAGATTTTAAATTAAGGTTTTTGCATCAAGACAAAAGCACATCCAGTCCATCCATCCAGTCTTGTTTGTTATGAGGTGAAAATGTAATGATTTTATTTTTTAGGAGTTCTTAATCTGTTTTCTTCTTCCTTCCATCTTTTTCTTGATATGTCCCCCTCGGGTCTGTACAGAAACTGATGTAAATATTTAGAATTCCTCTGAAAATGTTAAGATTTTCATTGTTTGAGAGTTTTATAAAATTCAGTAAAGTTTTTTTAATAGTAAAATAAAATAAATAAAAAAAATCTTAAGATGTTGTTATTTTGGGACGAGCTGCCTGCATTGATACAGGTTCACCTGAAAACACCACAGGGATGGATCGATTACTAAATGAGAAACACACAAGGGTCGTCAGATAATCAGAAATACATGCAGCACAGCCAGAGAGAGAGGAAAAAATCTACTTTTCAATAAATGATTTAAAAAGCAAAAGCAGATGATCCTGTTCTTCAGACATGGTGACTCGCCATCAGTCCTGCAGGCGCTGCAGCTGCAATCTGTCAGAGCAAGCTGTTCCACCAACGAGGAAGACGAGCCACTTCCTCGTTGTAAAGATCGTTCCTTGTTCATGTGTCACACATGAACAAATCCTCTTGACTTGCTGCTCGCTTGTATAAATTCTTGTACAGTGATTTAAAAATTCTTCACCTGTTTAGTGTAAATATCCACAGAGTCGAGCTGACAATAACTTGCCTCAGTGTTTCCATCAGGACAAGGATTGCCGTGTAGATCGTCTGCAGTTAATGCAGAGCGTTTGCATACATATGGGAACAGAGATAAATGTTCATATCTGCTGTTGTCTGGTCATCGGTCAGGTTTTTCCTCCTGATGGCAGCAGACAGGTGTTGAACGTTCTCTCCTGTTTTTACCTTGAAGCGACTGTTGTTGTCAATTGGAATTAAAACTGAGCAGAACGCGTCTTATCCTGGATTTCTTCTTACTGCAGTAAGAAAACACTTCATCCACCACAAAGTTTTTAAGGATGCATTTCAAATTGATTTGCTGATCCTATCACCTTTGATTATTTGTATATCACAAAACTAAT